TTTTTTTTTTCAATTGTAGTTGTCATTGTTGTTTAGCAGGCCCAGGCTGGGCTCAAATCCACCAGCCTCTGTGCATGTGGCCGGCACCCTACTCACTGAGCTACAGGCACCAAGCCTCTGTACCTGTTTTCTTACCGGTGAAAAAGAATAATAGTTGTAGGGCAGGCCCAGGGGCTCGTGTCTGTAATCCTAGCATTCTGGGAGGCTGAAGAGGGTGGATCCCCTGAGTTCAGGAGTCTGAGACCAGCCTGAGCAAGAGCAAGACCTCATCTCTACTAAAAATAGAAAAAACTAGCCAGGCATTATGGCAGGCACTTGTAGTCCCAGCTAATTGGGAGGCTGAGGCAAGAGGATCGCTTAAGCCTAAGAGTTTGAGGTTGCTGAGAGCTATCGTGATGCCACAGCACTCAACCCAAAGCCAAAGGGTGAGACTCTGTCTCCAATAAAAAGAAAGAAAGAATAATACTTGTAGGCTCGGCGTCTGTAGCTCAGTGGCTAAGGGCACCAGCCACATACACTGGAGCTGGTGGGTTCAAATCCAGCCCAGGCCTACCAAACAACAAGGGACAATTGCAACAAAAACATAGCCAGGCATTGTGGCCGGTGCCGGTAGCCCCAGCTACTTGCAAGGCTGAGGCAAGAGAATCGCTTAAGCCCAAGAGTTTGAGGTTGCTGAGAGCTGTGATGCCACAACACTCTACCAAGGGTTTCAAAAAGAAAAAAAAAAAAAGGAGAGCAGAGCGTCTCAGACCTTGGTACCCACCAGCGGGGAGGAGGCAGCAAAGAAAGACGCGATGTCTGGGGAGTACCCAGGCCGCAAGCCGGAGCTCAGGCTTCAACAATTAGGAGAGTGTGACGTGCCTGGGAAAGGCAGGAGCGCCAGCGGTCCGGCTGCTCTAGTGAGGGGAGTCCGAGGTGGCGACAAGGGGCGAACAACCCGACGCAAGATGGCGAGTAAAGAGATGTTTGAAGATACTGTGGAGGAGCGTGTCATCAATGAAGAATATAAAATCTGGAAGAATACACCATTTCTGTATGACCCGGTTATGACCCATGCTCTTCAGTGGCCCAGTCTTACCGTTCAGTGGCTTCCTGAAGTGACTAAACCTGAAGAGAAGGATTAGGCCCTTCATTGGTGCTGGGGACTCATACGTCTGATGAGCAGACTCATCCGTTGGTTGCTCAAGTACATATTCCCAATGATGATGCACAGTTTGATGCTTCCCATTGTGACAGTGACAGGGGTGAATTTGGTGGCTTTGGCTCTATAACAGGAAAAATTGAATGTGAAATTAAAATTAATCATGAAGGAGAAGTAAACCGTGCTCGGTACATGCCGCAGAATCCTCACATCATTGCTACAAAAACACCATCTTCTGCTGTGTTGGGTTTTGACTATACAAAACATCCCGCTAAACCAGACCCAAGTGGAGAATGTAATCCTGATCTTGGGTTAAGAGGTCACCAGAAGGAAGGCTATGGTCTTTCCTGGGATTCTAATTTGAGTGGACATCTCCTAAGTGCATCTGACGACCATACGGTCTGTCTGTGGGATATAAATGCAGGACCAAAGGAAGGCAAAATTGTGGATGCCAAGGCGATCTTTACTGGCCACTCAGCTGTTGTGGAGGATGTGGCCTGGCATCTGCTGCACAAGTCATTGTTTGGATCTGTTGCTGATGATCAGAAACTTATGATGTGGGACACCAGGTCCAATACCACCTCCAAACCAAGCCATTTGGTGGATGCCCACACTGCTGAGGTCAACTGCCTCTCATTCAATCCCTCCAGCGAGTTCATTCTAGCAACCGGCTCTGCGGATAAGACCGTAGCTTTATGGGATCTGCGTAACTTAAAATTAAAACTCCATACCTTTGAATCACATAAAGACGAAATTTTTCAGGTCCACTGGTCTCCACATAAGGAAACTATTCTGGCTTCCAGTGGTACTGATCGCCGCCTGAATGTGTGGGATTTAAGTAAAATTGGAGAAGAACAGTCAGCAGAAGATGCAAAAGATGGGCCTCCTGAACTCCTGTTCATTCATGGAGGACACACTGCCAAGATTTCAGATTTTTTTAGTTGGAACCCCAATGAGCCTTGGGTCATTTGCTCAGTGTCTGAGGATAACATCATGCAGATATGGCAAATGGCTGAAAATATTTACAATGATGAAGAGTCAGATGTCACACCATCGGAACTGGAGGGACAAGGATCTTAAACCCAAAGTACAAAAGGTGTTTCTGTTGAATGTAATGCTACATGAATGCTTGATTTCTCGAGCGCCAAAAAGGCATTGTATAGTAGGCAATGTTAAGTGGGATGGCTTACAGCGTTCTTTACTCTCTGATTCTAGCACTTTCAAACGAGCTGTTGCGTACTGTATCATATTGTAGTTAGTAGGGGGGCGGAAAAAAAGAGTGTTGCTTAAGAAAGAACATCACCATTGTTTTAAAATACAAGTAGCAGGGCACTGCTTCTGATTGAACTATTTTAAGTCCTTGTTTTCTCAAACTAAATGCTTGCTCTTCCCAAATATGCAAGAATAACTTTTACACTTTTTCCTTCCAACACTTGTTGATTGGCTTTGCAAAAATAAAGTTTTAAAATAAAAAAAAAGAATAATACTTGTAGCGGTGGGTACAATAACTTCTCATGAGGAAATACTTAGGACAGCGCCTGACATTAACTATTCACTAAATATTAGCACCCATCACAGGACAATGCAGGGCCGAGATTGCCAGATCTACTCAATATTCAAGATAAGCCAAATAACCAAACTCTTATTCTGAAATTGCTCTTTTTTTTTAACTTTGGCAACTGAGTAAAGACAGTTTTTAAACCTTAGGAAAGGTTTAAACGATGCAAAACACATCGCTGGGCAGGATTGGACTTACAAGACAGATGGTTTGCTCTAGGGCGTTCAAGCTTATAGAAAATGGAAGGCAGAAATGCCCAGCTTCTTCTCTGGGCACTGTGACCAAACTTCCCCTAGGTAACCAATCACAGTCAGGAGAGGAAAAAATAGAAAAAGATAAACACAAATTTATATACCAAATTGTCCTGGTACATAAATGCTATATCAGGATTTTTTTTTTCTTTTGAGACAGGCTCACTCTAGCCCCAGGCTAAAGTGCCATGGTGTTATAACTCACAGCAACCTCAAAATCCTAGGCTTAAGCCATCCTCCTGCCTAAGCCTCCAGAGTAGCTAGGACTACAGGCACCTGCCATAATAGCCAGCTAATTTTTGCTTAGGCTGGTCTCGAACCCATGAGCTCAGGCAATCCACCCACTTTAACCTCCTCCCAGAGTGCTAGGATTATAGGGGTGAGCCCTGGACAGGATTTTTTTTTTTAAGCATAGGGAAAGTGGTCAGGGAAGATGCCATTTAATCTAAGACCCATGAAAAGAATCTACCTTAACAAGAAAGCGAAAGGAGAGAAAACCAGATAATGGACACCTATGCAAAGGGCCTGAGGCAGAAAAGAGCTCAAAGCAAAAGAGGGACTGTATGAGCTGAAGCACTAGGCAGGGCCATATAGGAAGGCCAGGGTGAGGAGCATGAAATTATCTGGAGGATAGCGATAGCAAGCAGTCATTGAAGGGTTTCAAGCAAAGAGATGCGTGGCAGGGGGGACTCCAGGAGACAAATTAAGAAGCTGCTGTATAGCCCAGGAAAGATGATATGGCTTGGAATGGCCAGCAATCTTGAACATGGACAGCCCCAGATTTCTGCGTCCGAAATTGGCCTCAAAGTCAAAGGCTGGATTTGAGGCTCAGAGCAGGCCTGCTGCTTCTTTATACGCCAAGCAGTGGCCTTCCCGTCTTGGCCATGGCCGCTGCCCCAACTGCGTCTAACTGGCCTAGGCTGCCCTCTGTTGGCAAGTGAGGGCACTCCAAGCAAGGGGAGTAGCAGCCTCCCAAGGAAGCGAAACTCCAGATAGCCCCACCACCCTCCGCGCCTTACCCCCACCTTCCCCATCTCAGTTAATGGCATCTCTACCATGCAGTAGGTCAACTCAGAAACCCAGGACCCAGTCTCTACACTTCCTCCTCCCTCCACTCCATCAGGAAGTCCTTTTCATTCTATTTTCTAAATAGAATCCTGACTCAGAAATGTCCTAAATATATCCTGATCATCCCCACCTTTCTCTGTTTCCACCAGCCCCACCCTAGCCAAAGCCACCACCATCATTCTTTAGTCTCCCATCCTGGCCAGTCCATTTCCCACTCAGCAGCTGGAGTGCTCATGGTACCTCTGACTCCAGGATCCTTTCCCCAAAGCTCACAGCTGCTCATACCACCCGGTGTCAAACCAGACAGGGAAATTCCTGATGGATAGACAGTCCCATCCAGGACAATTTGCACATGTAGAAAACACCTGAAAATTCAGGATAGCATGGATGCTTGGGTCAGAGCCTCAAAAAGCTCGTGGCTGCCCCACCACTAGGAATTTTTCCCCTCTCTCCACTTGGTGCCCTAGTCTCATGCCACCCCACTGGCCCTTCTCCCTCCATGTCCTCCTCCAAAGGAGACTTGCCATTTCAGCCCCGCCAACCAGGGTGATTCAGAGCTCTCATTCCCCTCAAGCAGATTGCCAGGGTATGTTCCTCCACTGGACATCAACACAGCTCCCTCCCAAGGACAGATATCAGTGTCAGGACAGTAACAGGTACCTGGTAAGGCTGACGTTCTATGACTCCTGTGTTCTATCTTCTCAGTATCTTACGGCTCAACCTAGGATCATGGAACTCTTCACTGACCTCAGAGTAACTGTAATGGAAGCTTCACCCACCTAGGAGGCCTCTGATGCTAGAGCCAGACGCCCCAGACATTCCCTTGATCTACCAGAGCCAACAAGCCTTGTGAACCCGGGAGCTTCCAGCTTCCTGTGTCCATTTTGTTTCTTTTTTTGTTGAGACAGGGTCTCACCTTATCACTCTCAGTAGAGTGTCGTGGCATCATAGCTCATAGCAACCACAAACTCTTAGGTTCAAATGATTCTCTGGCCTCAGCCTCCCAAGTAGCTGGGACTACAGGCACCTACCACAATGCCCAGCTATTTTTAGAGACAGGGTCTAGCTCTTGCTGAGGCTAGTCTTGAATTCTTGAGTTCAGGCAAACCATCCGTCTCGGCCTCCCAGAGTGCTAGGATTACAGGTATGAGCCACTACGCCTGGCCCAATTTTAACATGTTAACTCAGTTTAGGGGGGGCTGCCACCCATAGCACACAGGTTTCCTGGAAATGAAAATAAAAAAGAGGAAGCAGATAAAATCATGGATGCTCTGGTTTCTGAGTTTTGGGGGGGGGGGTTGTTCTTTTTCTTTTCTTTCTTT